ATCAAGGTGTATGTGTGTCTAATGATGGTGTTATCATGGTGTAGACATGTCTGATGATGGTGTTATCAAGGTGTATGTGTATGATGATGGTGTTATAATGGTGTATGTGTGTCTGATGATGGTGTTATAATGGTGTATGTGTGTCTGATGATGGTGTTTTCAAGGTGTAGGTGTGTCTGATGATGGTGTTATAATGGTGTATGTGTGTCTGATGATGGTGTCATCATGGTGTATGTGTATGACGATGTTGTTATCATGGTGTAGGTGTGTCTGATGATGGTGTTATCAAGGTGTAAGTGTGTCTGATGATGGTGTTATCAAGGTGTATGTGTATGATGATGGTGTTATAATGGTGTATGTGTGTCTGATGATGGTGTTATAATGGTGTATGTGTGTCTGATGATGGTGTTATCATGGTGTATGTGTGTCTGATGATGGTGTTATCATGGTGTATGTGTATGACGATGATGTTATCATGGTGTAGGTGTGTCTGATGATGGTGTTATCAAGGTGTATGTGTGCCTAATGATGGTGTTATCAAGGTGTATGTGTATGATGATGGTGTTATCATGGTGTATGTGTGTCTGATGATGGTATTATCATGGTGTTTGTGTGTCTAATGATGGTGTTTTCAAGGTGTATGTGTGTCTAATAATGGTGTTATCATAGAGTAGGCGTGTCTGATGATGGTGTTATCAAGGTGAATGTGTATGATGATGGTGTTATCAAGGTATAGGTGTGTCTGATGATGGTGTTATCAAGGTGTATGTGTATGATGATGGTGTTATCATGGTGTAGGCGTGTCTGATGATGGTGTTTTCAAGGTGTATGTGTGTCTAATGATGGTGTTATCATGGTGTAGGCGTGTCTGATGATGGTGTTATCAAGGTGTATGTGTATGATGATGCTGTTTTCATGGTGTATGTGTGTCTGATGATGGTGTTATCATGGTGTAGGCGTGTCTGATGATGGTGTTATCAAGGTGAATGTGTATGATGATGGTGTTATCAAGGTGTAGGTGTGTCTGATGATGGTGTTATCATGGTGTATGTGTTTCTGATGATGGTGTTATTATAGTGTAGGTTGTATGACGATGGAGTTATCATGGTGTATGTGTGTCTGATGATGGTGTTATCATGGTGTATGTGTATGACGATGTTGTTATCAATGTGTAGGTATGTCTGATGATGGTGTTATCAAGGTGTATGTGTGTCTGATGATGGTGTTTTCAAGGTGTATGTGTGTCTAATGATGGTGTTATCATGGTGTAGGCGTGTCTGATGATGGTGTTATCAAGGTGAATGTGTATGATGATGGTGTTATCAAGGTGTAGGTGTGTCTGATGATGGTGTTATCATGGTGTATGTGTGTCTGATGATGGTGTTATCATGGTGTAGGTTGTATGATGATGGAGTTATCATGGTGTAGGCGTGTCTGATGATGGTGTTATGAAGGTGCATGTGTGTCTGATGATGGTGTTATCAAGGTGTATGTGTATGATGATGGAGTTATCATGGTGTAGGTGTGTCGGATGATGGTGTTATCCTGGTGTATGTGTCTAATGATGGTGCTATCATGGTGTAGGTGTGTCTGTTGATGGTGTTATCAAGGTGTATGATGTGTTATCATGGTGTATGATGTGTCGAATGATGGTGTTATCAAGCTGTATGTGTATGATGATGGTGTTATCATGGTGTAGGTGTGTCTGATGATGGTGTTATCATGGTGTATGTGTGTCTAATGATGGTGTTTTCAAGGTTTATGTGTGTCTAATGATGTTCTTATCATGGTGTAGGTGTGTCTGATGATGGTGTTATCAAGGTGTATGTGTATGATGATGGTGTTATCATGGTGTATGTGTATGATGATGGTGTTTTCATGGTGTAAGCGTGTCTGCTGATGGTGTTATCATGGTGTATGTGTGTCTAATGATGGTGTTTTCAAGGTGTATGTGTGTCTAATGATGGTGTTATCATGGAGTAGGCGTGTCTGATGATGGTGTTATCAAGGTGCATGTGTGTCTGATGATGGTGTTATCAAGGTGTATGTGTATGATGATGGAGTTATCATGGTGTAGGTGTGTCGGATGATGGTGTTATCCTGGTGTATGTGTCTAATGATGGTGCTATCATGGTGTAGGTGTGTCTGTTGATGGTGTTATCAAGGTGTATGATGTGTTATCATGGTGTATGATGTGTTATCATGGTGTATGTTTGTCTAATGATGGTGTTTTCAAGGTGTATATGTGTCTAATGATGGTGTTATCATGGTGTAGGCATGTCTGTTGATGGTGTTATCAGGTTTTATGATGTGTTATCATGGTGTATGTGTGTCTGATGATGGTGTTATCAAGGTTTATGTGTATGATGATGGTGTTGTCATGGTGTAGGTGTCTGTTGATGGTGTTATCAAGGTGTATGTGTGTCTATTGATGGTGTTATCAAGGTGTATGTGTGTCTAATGATGGTGTTATCATGGTGTAGGCATGTCTGTTGATCGTATTATCAGAGTTTATGATGTGGTATCATGTTGTAGGTGTGTCTGATGATGGTGTTATCAAGGTTTATGTGTATGATGATGGTGTTGTCATGGTGTAGGTGTCTGTTGATGGTGTTATGATGGTGTTAGTGTGTCTAATGATGGTGTTACCAAGGTTTATGTGTATGATGATGGTGTTGTCATGGTGTAGGCGTCTGTTGATGGTGTTATGATGGTGTAAGTGTGTCTAATGATGGTGTTATCAAGGTTTATGTGTATGATGATGGTGTTGTCATGGTGTAGGTGTCTGTTGATGGTGTTATCAAGGTGTATTATGTGTCTAATGATGGTGTTATCATGGTGTATGATGTGTCTAATGATGGTGTTGTCATGGTGTAGGTGTGTATGATGATGGTGTTATCATGGTGTATGATGTGTCAAATGATGGTGCTGTCAAGGTGTATGTGTATGATGATGGTGTTATCATAGTGTATGATGTGTCTAATGATGGTGTTATCAAGGTGTATGTGTATGATGATGGTGTTGTCATGGTGTATGTATGTATGATGACGGTGTTATCATGGTGTATGATGTGTCTAATGATGGTGTTGTCAAGGTGTATGTGTCTAATGATGGTGTTGTCATGGTGTAGGTGTGTATGATGATGGTGTTATCATGGTGTATGATGTGTCAAATGATGGTGCTGTCAAGGTGTATGTGTATGATGATGGTGTTATCATAGTGTATGATGTGTCTAATGATGGTGTTATCAAGGTGTATGTGTATGATGATGGTGTTGTCATGGTGTATGTATGTATGATGACGGTGTTATCATGGTGTATGATGTGTCTAATGATGGTGTTGTCAAGGTGTATGTGTATGATGATGGTGTTGTCATGGTGTATGTATGTATGATGACGGTGTTATCATAGTGTATGATGTGTCTAATGATGGTGTTGTCATGGTATATGTGTGTATGATGATGGTGTTATAATGGTGTATGTGTGTCTAATGATGGTGTTGTCACGGTGTACGTGTGTATGATGATCGTGTTATCAAGGTTTATGTGTGTGATGATGGTGTTGTCATTGTGTAGGTGTGTCTGATGATGGTGTTATCAAGGTGTATGTGTGTCTATTGATGGTGTTGCATGGTGTAGGTGTGTCTGATGATGGTGTTATCAGGGTTTATGATGTGTTATCAATGTGTAGGCGTGTCTGTTGATGGTGTTATCAGGGTTTATGATGTGTTATCATGGTGTAGGTGTGTCTAATGATGGTGTTATAATGGTGTAGGCGTGTCTAATGATGGTGTTATCATGGTGTAGGCGTGTCTAATGATGGTGTTATCAAGGTGTATGTGTGTCTAATGATGGTGTTGTCATGGTGTACGTGTGTCTGTTGAAGGTGTTATCAAGGTGTAGGCGTGTCTGTTGATGGTGTTATCAAGGTGTATGTGTATGATGATAGTGTTATCGTGGTGTAGGCGTGTCTGATGATAGTGTTATCATGGTGTAGATGTGTCTGTTGATGGTGTTATCAAGGTGTATGTGTATGATGATAGTGTTATCGTGGTGTAGGCGTGTCTGATGATAGTGTTATCATGGTGTAGGTGTGTCTGTTGATGGTGTTATCAAGGTGTATGTTTATGATGATAGTGTTATCATGGTGTAGGTGTGTCTGTTGATGGTGTTATCAAGGTGTATGTGTATGTCGATGGTGTTATCGTGGTGTAGGCGTTTCTGATGATGTTGTTATAATGGTGTAGGTGTGTCTGATGATGGTGTTATCATGGTGTAAGCGTTTCTGCTGATGGTGTTATCAAGGTGTATGGTGTGTTATCATGGTGTAGGTGTGTCTGATGATGGTGTTATCAAGGTGTATGTGTATGACGATGGTGTTATCGTGGTGTAGGCGTGTCTGGTGATGTTGTTATAATGGTGTAGGTGTGTCTGATGATGGTGTTTTCATGGTGTAAGCGTGTCTGCTGATGGTGTTATCAAGGTGTATGATGTGTTATCATGGTGTAGGTGTGTCTGATGATGGTGTTATCAAGGTGTATGTGTATGAGGATGGTGTTATCGTGGTGTAGGCGTGTCTGATGATGGTGTTATAATGGTGTAGGTGTGTCTGATGATGGTGTTATCGTGGTGTAGGCGTGTCTGATGAAATTGTTATAATGGTGTAGGCGTGTCTGATGATGGTGTTACAATGGTGTAGGTGTGTCTGTTGATGGTGTTATCGTGGTGTAGGTGTGTCTGATGAAATTGTTATAATGGTGTAGGCGTGTATGATGATGGTGTTATCATGGTGTAGGCGTGTCTGTTGATGATGTTATCAAGGTGTAGGTGTGTCTGATGACGGTGTTATCATGGTGTAGGTGTGTCTGATGATGGTGTTATCAAGGTGTAGGTGTGTCTGATGATGGTGTTATCAAGGTGTAAGTGTGTCTGATGATGGTGGTATCTTGATTCACATGTCTGAGGTTCGTGATGCCATCGTTTAGATTTCAGGAAAAGCACATATATTTGATAATTTATTAATGACTCTAAATAAATAAGTTGGTATTTACACCGCGGGAGACATTGGAGACATTCATTGTGTGTATACAGTAATAGCAAAGGCAATGAATACCGTGATCCTGTGGCGAGGCAGATGACCTTTACCGAACGTCCAGTATGACCAGTGACACAGATAGCTCATGCCGATCAGAAGTCAGTACAATTCACAGCAAATACAACGTAGTATGAAGGTGGAAGACAAGTGCGGTAATTGTACACAATGTCGCCATGCACACATCTAACGAATTACCTCGTTACATTAATACCTGGGATTCATAGTTTGATATAAATCGATAAAATCTGCCGTTTGATGTCCACCCTACGAAACCCGCAGTTTCCCCCAATAGTGCGGGCTTCCCCATACTGTCATCCTCCCAGCGAGCAGCCGCCATCATGGCACAGCTGACGTGCTGCCTGGGTGGGTTGAGAGAGGATTGTATCAGGTGTACGCAATGACGACGCGCTAATGTCACTGACAACAATGTCACAAATAATACGTCCCGTTTGATTACATACACCCAATCGGAAGACACATCTTTGGTTTGGCATTCAAGTTGTTCGTTTTCACTTGTGTTTACACAAGACATTCATTCTGTTCATTGCTCTGCTGGAGGGTGCGTTGATTTCACAGTGTAGAGACCGGGACCGTATGTCCACGGTATGGGGTGTGGGGGGAGGCATTAAATGTCCAAGGGCATGGGGTGTCATGATTGTGTCCACGGGTTTGGGGGTATTGGGTGTCATGTTTTGACGCGTTTTAGGGGTATTCGGTGTCATGTTTGGACGGGTTTGGGGTGCCCTTCGTTCAGTTCGTGCTACAAGTGTCGAGTCTACAAGTGGCTACTAGACCTTCAACACAAAAAGGCCTTCAAAACTTGGCATTTTGCCTGACATCACCGGAAATCACGCGAAGCACCGGGAATATGGCTTTCCGTTTACTCGAATCTCACGTTTGAACTGACGATATTTTACGGCTCGCCGAGGGTATCATCTTTAATATTTCTAGAGCTTCGTTGTATGTTGGCGGCGGTGTCGTTATATTCGAATCATTGTAACTGAATAAGTCGTGCAGTGATGTATGCATTCCAAGGAAGCGTCTTGGTCCTGACAACGTCTCCACCTCGATGTCTACCCTGTCCATAACCGGGTTATCCACACCCGATGATATGATTGGACGGTCTTCTATGATGTCACCGGAAATGGTAGAAATAGACAAATCTGATTGGCTTTCCACACTGGAAATGGACACGCGGCTGTGGGGAGACCGGTGTTCGCTCTCACCCAGTAGGCCCGTCGTACTGTCGTATCTTTCTAACATCCCACTGTCTCCAAACAGCTGCTCGTAGGTGGGTGGTGGGTCCACGTAACTTGAGGGAGTGGCGCTGTCTGCGCTTGCCGTGCCTGACGATCCGTTTTCCTGTCGGATACGCTCTGCCTTCGCCCTTTTCAGCTGGACAATGAGCACACAGATGAGCGGCACGATGACAGAGAGACCTGCGGCCATTGCGATAAATCCTCCATCGTACACCGGCACGTCGTTGTCATCTGTAAAACATATTCATTAAACGTCACAGCACATCAGGATCAGATACATTAAATTTAAAAAAGGACTTGATCATTTAAGAAATATGTTTTTAGTTAATTGGAATTTTCATATTAACACTGATGTCGGTATATTCATAGTACCTGTTATACCTGTTTTTGTTTCAAATATCTGTTTCAATATGGTTTGAAGCATACCAATGGACCATTCAAATTGTTCCATGCAATGTTGACAGTTCCCAAAAGTATATCACTGTGACAGATATACCACACTAAGCTAGTAAGATTCGTGCCAATAACAGATTGTGTCAGTGAAAATAAGTCGGAAATTAACCCTGATTGCTCTGTGCCTGCCTCCGGAAATAATTCAACTTGCACAAATGACAAAGCGGCCTACAGACTTCCCTGTAATATCAACGTCTGAGTGTAACCTTAACGTCTGCCCTGTAATCTCAAAGTCTGAGTGTAACCTTAACGTCTGCCCTGTAATCTCAACGTCTGAGTGTAAACTTGACGTCTGCCCTGTAATCTCAACGTCTGATTGTAACCTTGACGTCTGCCCTGTAATCTCAACGTCTGAGTGTAACCTTAACGTCTGCCCTGTAATCTCAACGTCTGAGTGTAACCTTGACGTCTGCCCTGTAATCTCCACGTCTGAGTGTAACCTTGACGTCTGCCCTGTAATCTCCACGTTTGAGTGGTGTAGCCCCAACGTCTGAGTGTAACCTTAACGTCTGAGTGGTGTAGCCTTAACGTCTGAGTGTAACCTTAACGTCTGAATGGTGTAGCCTTAACGTCTGCCCTGTAATCTCAACGTCTGAGTGTAGCCTTAACGTCTGAGTGTAGCCTTAACCTCTGCCCTGTAATCTCAACGTCTGAGTCTAACCTTAACGTCTGAGTGTAACCTTAACGTCTGCCCTGTAATCTCCACGTTTGAGTGGTGTAACCTTAACATATGCCCTGTAATCTCAACGTCTGAGTGGTGTAGCCTTAACGTCTGCCCTGTAATCTCAACGTCTGAGTGTAACCTTAACGTCTGCCCTGTAATCTCAACGTCTGAGTGTAACCTTCACGTCTGTGTACCTTAACGTCTGCCCTGTAATCTCAACGTCTGAGTGGTGTAACCTTAACATCTGCCCTGTAATCTCAACGTCTGAGTGGTGTAGCCTCAACGTCTGAGTTGTGTAGCCTTAACGTCTGCCCTGTAATCTCCACGTTTGAGTGGTGTAACCTTAACATCTGCCCTGTAATCTCAACGTCTGAGTGTAGCCTCAACGTCTGAGTGGTGTAGCCTCAACGTCTGAGTGTAGCCTTAACATCTTCCCTGTAATCTCCACGTTTGAGTGGTGTAACCTTAACATCTGCCCTGTAATCTCAACGTCTGAGTGTAGCCTCAACGTCTGAGTGGTGTAGCCTCAACGTCTGAGTGTAACCTTGACGTCTGCCCTGTAATCTCCACGTTTGAGTGGTGTATCCTCAACGTCTGAGTGTAACCTTAACGTCTGAGTGGTGTAACCTTAACATCTGCCCTGTAATCTCAACGTCTGAGTGTAGCCTTAACGTCTGAGTGTAGCCTTAACATCTGCCCTGTAATCTCAACGTCTGAGTGGTGTAGCCTCAACGTCTGAGTGGAGTAGCCTCAACGTCTGCCCTGTAATCTCAACGTCTGAGTGGTGTAGCCTTAACATCTTCCCTGTAATCTCAACGTCTGAGTGGTGCAGCCTCAACGTCTGCCCTGTAATCTCAACGTCTGAGTGGTGTAGCCTTAACATCTTCCCTGTAATCTCAACGTCTGAGTGGTGTAGCCTTAACGCCTGAGTGGTGTAGCCTTAACGTCTGCCCTGTAATCTCCACGTTTGAGTGGTGTAACCTTAACATCTACCCTGTAATCTCAACGTCTGAGTGGTGTAGCCTTAACGTCTGCCCTGTAATCTCAACGTCTGAGTGGTGTAGCCTTAACGTCTGCCCTGTAATCTCAACGTCTGAGTGGTGTAGCCTTAACATCTGCCCTGTAATCTCAACGTCTGAGTGGTGTAGCCTTAACGTCTGCCCTGTAATCTCAACGTCTGAGTGGTGTAGCCTTAACGTCTGCCCTGTAATCTCAACGTCTGAGTGGTGTAGGCTTAACGTCTGCCCTGTAATCTCCACGTTTGAGTGGTGTAACCTTAACATCTGCCCTGTAATCTCAACGTCTGAGTGGTGTAGCCTTAACGCCTGAGTGCAACATCAGATTTCTACTTTTACAACACGTGTAGGTGTCCCATGCATCTACTTCTACAACACGTGTAGGTGGTCCATGCATCTACTTCTACAACACGTGTAGGTGTCCCATGTATCTATTTCTACAACACGTATAGGTGGTCCATGCATCTACTTCTACAACACGTGTAGGTTGTCCATGCATCTACTTCTACAACACGTGTAGGTTGTCCATCCATCTACTTCTACAACACGGGTAGGTTGTCCATGCATCTACTTCTACAACACGTGTAGGTTGCCCATGCATCTACTTCTACAACACGTGTAGGTTGTCCATCCATCTACTTCTACAACACGTGTAGATTGTCCATGCATCTACTTCTACAACACGTGTAGATTGTCCATCCATCTACTTCTACAACACGTGTAGGTTGTCCATCCATCTACTTCTACAACACGGGTAGGTTGTCCATCCATCTACTTCTACAACACGGGTAGGTTGTCCATGCATCTACTTCTACAACACGTGTAGGTTGCCCATGCATCTACTTCTACAACACGTGTAGGTTGCCCATGCATCTACTTCAGAACACGTGTAGGTGTCCCATGTATCTACTTCTACAACACGTGTAGTTTGCCCATGCATCTACTTCTACAACACGTGTAGGTTGTCCATGCATCTACTTCTACAACACGTGTAGGTGTCCCATGTATCTACTTCTACAACACGGGTAGGTTGTCCATGCATCTACTTCTACAACACGTGTAGGTTGTCCATGCATCTACTTCTACAACACGTGTAGGTTGTCCATGCATCTACTTCTACAACACGTGTAGGTTGTCCATGCATCTACTTCTACAACACGTGTAGGTTGTCCATGCATCTACTTCTACAACACGTGTAGGTGTCCCATGTATCTACTTCTACAACACGGGTAGGTTGTCCATCCATCTACTTCTACAACACGGGTAGTTTGCCCATGCATCTACTTCTACAACACATGTAGGTTGCCCATGCATCTACTTCTACAACACGTGTAGGTTGTCCATGCATCTACTTCTACAACACGTGTAGGTTGCCCATGCATCTACTTCTACAACACGTGTAGTTTGCCCATGCATCTACTTCTACAACACATGTAGGTTGCCCATGCATCTACTTCAGAACACGTGTAGGTTGCCCATGTATCTACTTCTACAACACGTGTAGGTTGCCCATGCATCTACTTCTACAACACGTGTAGGTTGCCCATGCATCTACTTCTACAACACATGTAGGTTGCCCATGCATCTACTTCAGAACACGTGTAGGTTGTCCATCCATCTACTTCTACAACACGTGTAGGTTGCCCATGCATCTACTTCAGAACACGCCGGTTGTCGGTCAGGTTACACGCGGTAATGCATCGCATGATTTCTAATTCAGCGCGGACCTCACGGTAAGGAATGCTTTCTCTGACAGTGAATGTATGAAGAGACGCATTCCATATGGACTAATACTTATAGTCTGATTTTCATATAATTATATTCAGCATATTTGTTGTTTCCATGAAATAGACGGCATATATGTTAATCCGCGTTCCACTAGAGATACCACTGCAGATAATTTTCAGGAATTCTGTATAACAAAACCTGAAGACAATCGTCTCGACTATAATGGTGGACCTAACAGAATTAAGGGCGGGGTATACAGCAGCGTAAAGCAGCCTCATAGAAAACAGCTGACACCTGAATTTACGCGGCAAGGAGCACGCACGTGCCTGCTACTGTGTATATCATTAATTGTATACAGTATGTGCACATACACTCGTATCATGCGATAAATAACTCCACCTATTGATGAAGAATCGACAACATTGTTCTTTTTACAATTCTTGTTTTCTATCTAATACTTCAGAGCAGATATGGATAATATCATTTTGCTATTGTTTGAATTCCGATCATAGATCAGTCATGAACTACTATGTTCATCGTGATATCTAGAATCATCTAGAATTGCGTAAGTAATGAGTGTACGGGCGCTAGCTGCTACTCACCTTGACACAAGTAGCGGATCTCATAGTCGCTACAGAAGATTGTACCCGGTTGGTCGCGGTCTCGACACACCAGACCTGTGGCGTTGCAGGGAACGTGAAGTATGTTGCTGGAGAACGTCCATCTGTTCTTGAAGGTGAAGGCCGTCCCCACCGCCCTACACTCTGCCTGTGTTACTGACCCGCCCGGGCACAGGGTCTCGTGTGTCTGTGGGGAAATTTACTCAATACATCATCTTTTATTGTACCTGTGAGGGTGTCAGGTGACACAGGTGAAAACAGTTTGTTTTTTTAAAATCGTCAGCAATGACTGGAATGGCTAGAAGATGTGATTGAGTTTAAACAATTCTATACAGTAGCGATCTGTTTCTTCCATCTCTGTGCGGGCTATACGTAGCTCATTGCGTCACGTATGTCATCAATCACCACTAACGAATAAAAACATGTGTGTCCAATGTCAGCTTCCTTACAGTAACATGGCTACATATGCGTTCATTTACAGCGTTGTCAGTCACGCGGTATGTCATGGAGTTCATTGTGTGAAAACTGCAGTTAATAATTATTGTGACGAGGCGTAAGTATCACCAACACACTTCAACACATCATCATTGGTATTGCCAATTAAGAGAAATAAATACAAATACAAACTACAATGGCGTTTTTTTACAATTCGTACTGGAATAGCATCTATAGAGTTCTCAGATTAGGAAAAAACACCAAACTCAGCAGGTTGCTTCTCAAGGTTTAAACAACATGTCCAGATTTACAGGGTGCTATTGTACAAGTGGCATTGTGCTGACAATATCCAAACAATGCATATGCTTGTAAACAGCCTTTGATATCTCAGTGAAACATTTTTGGCAGATATCGAACACATGGTAGGTTCGGAGAAAAAGTTGATTTTTCAGTTACTTTTTTTGTCAATGTCACAAAGAGTTACTTCGTTATTCCAGCATTTACGACATGACACCTGTCCACGTGACACGCGTCCACGCCGATGTTCACAACACATTGTTGTCAGGTTTACTGTAGCAGCTGAATGTGTCGGAGTGTTGTCGTAGCCGCAGCCGACAGGCATTATTACTGCAGTTTCGACAAGTTTATATCCGTTTCGACCACTGCATGTCGTCCTCCGGTAAACGAGGTGAATGAAGCTGTCAGCGAGACATCCACGTGTCATGGGAAACATGTCGGTCACGATGTGCACCTGACACTGAAACATGTGTGCGTCCCGACACGTGCCACGTCGGACTGGTGAACCGTCAACTTCATATAACATTCGTTCAACTCAATACTGGCGCCATCAACAACCACTAGCTACTGTTTTCATGACTTGTGTCGAGGTTCGTCACATGGATAGTTAGATTCCCATCTAATAGATGTAATTTGAAACTCAAACCTACAGTATTGCGCGGTTCGGTGAACCAATAACAACGAACCCCACCCACGGGCAAGGCAATGTCGGGATCGGTGAATGCATGTATTCCGCTACTGCACCTTGAAGCTGATCTGCCACGATTGCACAATCCCACATTATCGTATGTACCCGCAGCAGCAACAGGGCGGTAATTGGAGAGGCCGTCAGGAGGCCAACAATTAGTGCTAATTGTTTACACCAAAGCTATGTTAATTACGCAAAGACACGCGACATTTAGGATAAAAGTGTATTGCATAATACTTGGTTAGTCATGACTCCATTCGTATGACATGTCAGCGTGACCTCTCCCTCCCTCTCTCTCTCTCCCTCCCTCCCTCCCTCCCTCTCTCTCTCCCTCCCTCCCTCTCTCTCTCTCTCTCTCTCTCTCTCTCTCTCTCTCTCTCTCTCCAATGACTGAGCACGGGACACACCTGTTTTACACTGCCGATTGTCTCCTCCTCGACGCCATCATATGGCGTGTCCGTGTTGAACCACTCCGTCCAAGCAGACTGCCCTGCAACATAGGAATAAAACCATAGTTAGTTGTCCAGTACTTGTCACCATCCATTCGCTGTGCATTGGTGACACAAGGACTTGAGAAGGAAGCCGAGCAACAATCAAGTATCAGGTAGATAGGTAGGGGCTTGTTGTACCGATTTCAGAATCATGCTGTAAGTGTTGTGAACTAAAAGTGCACTGAGCAAACTGACAAAAGTTCACAAAGTTTAGCCCAAAGGTCGCCTGACGTGACTTCGCAGGACGGGACAATGCATGTCAATAGAACAGCGTATAGTCTGTCTTACAGACCCTGATACAAATATATATCAAATACAGCCCATGCAAGTCTATAATGCATGTTTGGCAAGTCTAGATCACTGCAGTATCAGGAATGAAGAGAGTCACTGGGCTCCTTTTTATTATATTTTTATTAAAATAACTGAACAACTGTTTTTTTATGTACGATATGTTCATTTCAGAGACTAGATGTTAGTCTAGAACAGCGTAGTGCCGCTTGGCTGGGGGTAGGACATCGCCTTCTTGTCGGAAGTATTACATACACATTACAGTATCCCTCGTAATAAACATAAGCAATAACAATATGTAAACATGAAAAACAAAAACACCCTAATCCAATTGATTATCAAGAATATATCATCGATGGCTATATCCAGCTCAATCAAGTTAGAGTTAACATTAGGCACCGATCATTTGATACAGCTACAGCTAAAAAGGAGCCCGAAGTGATGCACGTCTCAGACGTTTCCCACTTCGGTGAAACCCACGAGCACGGGTATGGTGCTGACAAACCTAGAAACATAATCGGGGCGAACCGTCATTCGAACCCACAATCATAGGTTTCCGGCGTGCCCAAGGGATGCTACTCTGCACAGCGAATCGCGGCGCCATAGACGACTGGGCCACCCAGTTGGGATCGATGACATGCATCAACCAAGTCAGCGAGCCTGACCACCCGATCCCGATAGTCGCCTCTTACAACAAGCATAGTCGCCTTTTACGGCAAGCATGGGGTGCTGAAGACCTATTCTATCCCGGAATCTTCACGGGTGTTATCATACTGATCGAGCTCAATCACACGTGGCAGGTTGGCCTGCAGCTGGAGTTACATTAAGTATTGCGCTTTCTTCCATGTTTACTTTACGTAGATTATCAATATGAAAATCGTCATCTGCCGAAACTTCATTTAAAGATTTAACAAGCGTCATCCGAAGATGACATATCCCCCCCCGACGTGGCATGTCGGTAAACTGTGTGTACCTTCAAATGTATTTAGATTGGCAAGGAAATCTTTTTCCTTGATGCCAAAACCAGAAATATAATGAAGGTTATTAAATATTGGTTCATGTAGCTCACTTTCTGATGATCTCATGAAATTGTAATAACAATAACTTCGCAGATTCGCATATGAATAGCTCTGTAGTAGCCTCATGACACAAAGGCATAAAGAGAATGTACCAGGGATTGACAAAAAAACCCAAAACATAAACATCTTGTTTCATTATATGTCACGTGGTTTAGCGAACTGTTAATCCCGGTGCTGAGCTCCTCATGTGCCACCAATCTGCCTTTCAAAAGATCCACAGCCAACCGCTGCTGTTCAAAGCGTCAATAAACAATTGAAGGCAATTAATTTACTCTTAAGTACTGACACCTTGTCCTCAAATTACTCCCTCAATTAACAATAGTAACACTGATTGAAGTGGATATATTCTGTACATGTACAGTGCACACTCTTGTTATTTATCGAGTAACATGTCACATGACTTGATCTGACGGCCGACATGCGTATAACGAACGACGGATATAACGAACTAAAATTAGTGGTCCCATTGAGTTCGTCATAACAGTGGCTACTGTATTTGTTTCAGGGTCCGTATGACAGAGTAGCCTGCATTGTATGACGGCCGTACCGTAGTGTACTCAGTCAGCCTCGAGCCAACCATCCTGCCCCTGTTGGTGTGCATATTGTTTGGAGTCACGTGTATTGTTGCCCTGACATCAACGTAGCTTTGTAAACATACCGACACGTGTCAGTGGACGTAACGCTACAACAGTCACCACATCTGGAGCAGTGTAACATATGGGAAAATATACACAGGCCATTTTACACTGATGATAAACAAGCGAAAATGACTGATAATCATAAATGACAATGAAATAACATTTGAATAAAAAATTGTGAAATCTACCCAGCTTTCTTTCTTGTTACATGGGTGATACCATTTTACTTAATCAAGGGTACAGGGTACTACTTACTGATGCAACCAGCCATAACGAGTGTTGCTTTAACGGGTCTGCGTTTTGGCAGGTCTACGTTTTGGGAAGATACCGCCACAACCCGTACCAGCGTGTTGGGTCTGTTGACACCAGGAGTCACGCTTGCTTGACGGTACTTCTTTGGACCAGCACTATATTATTATCTCACCCTTACACGATTTGTGAAGGGTTAGGACACTTTAGTCTCTTATGGTTGTGTGGTCTGACAACTTTGATAATAATAATAATGATAATAATATCACCCACAGCAATACCACAGCTGATTCCCACTGAACCTCTGACTCCCTACTTCTGACTAGATTCCCATATATGCACTCACGAACGAATAATGACCACGAAACGTTGTATTCGTCATAAAAAGGAAACACATGCTCATCAACAATTATCTTTGTCATCCATATATGGAAATACAACGTGTCCCTTCATGACCGTACGTCAGTACACCTACTTAGCAACTATTAACATCATACCTGTGTTGGTGTAGTTTGTCATCTCCCGTGATCACTGACAACCCAAGTATCTAGTCAGATATATCCACCACCAATTATTTGGAGATGCAGGGAAGAAGGCAGTATATATCCAACACGGCTGTGGGTGCTCTGCGGGTGTTGCCAGGTGAACTGCCTCGCTACTACTGTGGTACATCAGACAGGCTCGCGCTCTATACAAGTGGGTATAGGGGAACTGGGGCGTGTAATATGGGTCTATAACTGCCCAAGGCCGGAATAATCCACAATTAAACCAACCTCTTCCGCATCCGACTAGCATCTTGAACTGTGATTAATCCATGAGTGTTTTAGAGTTGCCAGGGCATGACGATAAGGACTGGACTGACACCTGTCCCAGGAAGTGATTTATGAAACGTACTAGTTTTGTGGAAACACCTGCAGTGATTGTGACGATTCCTTCTTTAACCACGTGTGAAGCTAACTGCTTTCTGAACACGGGAGTGTGGAATGGGGTTGACGCACTAGAGCTGGAGGCGCTAATCTATTCGCAGGGCACACAGTTCCCGTTTATTGTTATAAGTAGTTAGATAGCCTTATAAAAATAAGATGTGACACTCCAGGGAGCGTCAGAAAAAACTGGCACTGCTGAGAGCTGTCGGTGGCCACGCTTTAGGTAGACACTTCATCTATATATAAACAGACACGTTGACCGTTATAGTCCACATACAATATTATATGACCATACTGACCCACAATACACACTTCAGAGATTGCAGTTTATGCAAAATGCATGCTGTACTAAAATCATGCCAAAATTGGAATCCTCTTACTGACAAGAAACTAAAAGATAGTGAATTCCCAAATAATAATTTCTTTAGAAATGAGAACAACAATCTGCCAGCTACACAAATGCAACAAGAAATACGTTGGCCCAAGATTTGCAACCTCCACCCATTGGACTGGATACAGCTGGGACTAAGTACGACACAGACAACGTCGATGTCAGAATGAATACAGGCGAAGTGCAGACGGTAAAACAGTTGAATTCACCAGGGCTGGCAGAGGAGGATGGTCATTGGATCTGTTTGATGACTGTTGTCACACACTGATTGCTTTAATATTCACGGATTTCGGATGATTTGAACAGTTTATTGTAATAGGTGTATATACAGTTTTTAGAGTTACTTGCTGACTAACCTCCAAGACGGACGATGGGAATGTGATACGCCCACGAAGTTTAAAATTATTGAATTAATCTGAGCTGAATGTCTTCTAATATTAGAGAATGTGCAAGTGGGGATTGGTCTCTTCTTTTACCCTACACTATTGTGATATTGTTGATATTATATTTGTATTTTCAGCAAGGCAGCGTGTTAAATCACCTTTGAGCAGAATCGCAGTCATGGTGGAGAAGTGTTCAAATTAAATTGGCAGTTAGTTTCACGCTCATCTCACTCTGGCAGCTAAATGAATCAGTTTACATTTCCAATACGAATCATTAATAATGTGTACTCTCGTCACCGATTCTATCAATGTGTAGGAAGCTTGAAGCTCACAAGTTGAATACCCACGCCGTCAGGAAACGACCGCCAGGGAGTCTGTATATAAACGTCTTCCCTCTATAGCTAGCACCTGCCACGACAGCTACCCCCGCGACCACCCCCTACACACCTGCCCCACCCATGTCCGACTACCACCCCCTACACACCTGCCCCACCCATGTCCGACTACCACCCCCTACACACCTGCCCCACCCATGTGGTTAAGTGGTATGGATAATAGACATCAGTGACCTTGTCATATCGTTATGTGGTTGGGATGGCAGCCAAATCAGCAAACTGCTATGTTTGTTTATAACACGCGTGTCTTGTTGTTATTGTTTTCCCCGAGTCAGACAATATTTAATGTTTGATAAAGCCACCCTATGCCCGTGTCCAGCATCCCGCCGTGTATATTATACTGCGGTACATATTGACAGCTTGGACACAACAAGCACTGTAAAACACATCACATACTGGTTTCAAAGCAAAGCGTGTGATTTCAAAAACCCATAAGCTGGGTTGCATAAAGTAGTTTCAAATGTAGACATGAAGACTTAAAAGTGAATTGATGCATTAAAATGAACGCCGGGTTAAAAAACCACACACCTGAGTGTGGTAAATCTTCTTCACTTAAAACATAATAGAAGTCATTATCCCAGTCACTGGCGACCTCACTGCACATGCAGTAGTTATACACTGGACATGTAGTAGTTATAGATTGAACATGTAGTGGTTATACACTGGACATGTAGTAGTTATACACTGGACATGCAGTAGTTATACACTGGACATGTAGTGGTTATAGATTGAACATGCAGTAGTTATACACTGGACATGTAGTGGTTATAGATTGAACATGCAGTAGTTATACACTGGACATGTAGTGGTTATAGATTGAACATGCAGTAGTTATACACTGGACATGTAGTGGTTATAGATTGAACATGTAGTAGTTATACACTGGACATGTAGTGGTTATAGATTGAACATGTAGTAGTTATACACTGGACATGTAGTGGTTATACACTGGACATGTAGTGGTTATACACTGGACATGTAGTGGTTATAGATTGAACATGTAGTTATACACTGGACATGTAGTGGTTATAGATTGAACATGTAGTGGTTATACACTGGACATGTAGTGGTTATAGATTGAACATGTAGTAGTTATACACTGGACATGTAGTGGTTATACACTGGACATGTAGTGGTTATACACTGGACATGTAGTGGTTATAGATTGAACATGTAGTAGTTATACACTGGACATGTAGTGGTTATACACTGGACATGTAGTGGTTATAGATTGAACATGTAGTGGTTATACACTGGACATGTAGTGGTTAAACACTGGACATGTAGTAGTTATAGATTGAACATGTAGTGGTTATACACTGGACATGTAGTGGTTATACACTGGACATGTAGTGGTTATAGATTGAACATGTAGTGGTTATACACTGGACATGTAGTGGTTATACACTGGACATGTAGTGGTTATAGATTGAACATGTAGTGGTTATACACTGGACATGTAGTGGTTATACACTGGACATGTGGTGGTTATACACTGGACATGTAGTGGTTATAGATTGAACATGTAGTGGTTATACACTGGACATATAGTGGTTATACACTGGACATGTAGTGGTTATACATTGGACGTGGTGGTTGTACACTGGACATGTAGTGGTTATACACTGGACATGTAGTGGTTATAGATTGAACATGTAGTGGTTATACACTGGACATGTAGTGGTTATACACTGGACATGTAGTGGTTATAGATTGAACATGTAGTGGTTATACACTGGACATGTAGTGGTTATACACTGGACATGTGGTGGTTATACACTGGACATGTAGTGGTTATAGATTGAACATGTAGTGGTTATACACTGGACATATAGTGGTTATACACTGGACATGTAGTGGTTATACATTGGACGTGGTGGTTGTACACTGGACATAAATAAATAACAATGACAGGTTCACAAGAAATGTCGTCCAACATCTAGTAGTCCCGACTGTCGAGTTCAAATACCACTTGTGCTTGAGTGTCGGGACCTGCAAAATTTTAACAATAGCTTCTTGTTTCATAAAGTTAAAAAAGTGTTGACTGCCCCTACAATAGCCAGATGAACACGCATCCCCCGTTGTCACAACTTGAAGATTCGCTGCCCAAACATTGACTGTTGTGATCTGGTAACAAAGTTACACGCAGTGAAGGTTAGGAGCAGGCTGACTTTGAACTTAAAACGGGTCTCACGTTTGGACGTGAGATGGACACTCTGACAAACTACAAATCTCAGCATGTCTGGTGAGAGCAAACAAATGTCATTCTGTGCCAATGAAGGCACCGAGATGAACCACAGGAATATGTAGCTGTGCACAAAACATTGTTTTTATTTACCCATGTATCCTACGAGGCCTGTGGATGAACACATTCGATCCACAAAGGGATGAATTTAGTCACTTCTGAACAAACTCAAATGAAACTATTTGCTTTCTTATTTATAATGTCACAACGAGATTACTTCTCACCAGGATATACTGAGTATACTCGCATAGTGTTGCACCAGGACATACTGAGTATATTCACATAGTGTTGCACCAGGACATAATGAGTATACTCACATAGTGTTTCACTCGGACATACTGAGTATACTCGCATAGTGTTGTACCCGGACATAATGAGTATACTCCTCACATAGTTTTGCACCAGGATATACTGAGTATACTCGCATAGTGTCGCACCAGGACATACTGAGTATACTAGCATAGTGTCGCACCAGGACATAATGAGTATACTCACATAGTGTTGCACTTGGACATACTGAGTATACTCACATAGTGTTGCACCAAGATATACTGAGTATACTCACATACTATCGCACCAGGACATACTGAGTATACTCACACAGTGTTGCACCCGGACATACTGAGTATACTCACATAGTGTTGCAGCAGGATATACTGAGTATACTCACATAATGTTGCACCAGGACATACTGAGTATACTCACACAGTGTTGCACCAGGACATACTGAGTATACTCGCATAGTTATGCACCAGGACATACTGAGTATACTCACATAGTGTTGCACCAGGACATAATGAGTATACTCACATAGTGTTGCACCAGGACATACTGAGTATACTCGCATAGTTATGCACCAGGACATACTGAGTATACTCACATAGTGTTGCACCCGGACATACTGAGTATACTCACATAGTGTTGCACCCGGACATACTGAGTATACTCACATAATGTTGCACCAGGGCATACTGAGTATACTCGCATAAAGGAAAGCCCGAAGTAATGCAGGTCTCAGACGTTTACCACTTCGGTGAAGGGCACGGGTATGGTGCTGAGACAAACCTAGAAACATAAGCTGCACCAGGATTTACTGACTATACTCATATAGGGCTGCGTCAGGATATACTGAGTGTACTACATAGGGCTGCACCAGGATTTACTGACTATACTCATATAGGGCTGCGTCAGGATATACTGAGTGTACTACATAGGGCTGCACCAGGATTTACTGACTATACTCATATAGGGCTGCGTCAGGATATACTGAGTGTACTACACAGGGCTGCACCAGGATTTACTGACTATACTCATATAGGGCTGCGTCAGGATATACTGAGTGTACTACATAGGGCTGCACCAGGATTTACTGACTATACTCATATAGGGCTGCGTCAGGATATACTGAGTGTACTACAAC